GCGGCCGCACCGACAAGAAAAAAAATCGTTGTGTTAGCAGCTGTCCTCCTCGAGACATATGATTCACCCTCGAGGCCGCATCGCAGGGGGGATTTTTTTTGTTCGACCCTTGCAACCCCCCTCAAGGGGGTTCGCGGATGGCACACGGCGCGAGTCCGGTCGGCGAAGCTTCGGATTTGGCTTGTCCCTGGCGCTGAAATACTGCAGAGTCTATGGACTACGTCATGCGTGATGTATGATCATGTCTCTCCCCCCACCCCCCGTGACGTTGTTGACAGCCGCGTGGAGTTCAACCGGTTGGCGACGAAGGCGACCACCATCCTCAAGGGTCTTGACAAGGGTCGCCCGAAGCTCCTAGTCGTGCGGTGAGTCTTGCTGATTTCGTTTGGGCATCTTGGTTTTCGTGCCGACCGTGTGACGACCCTTAGTTGCTACGCAGCTTCATTCTAAAACGTACGTACGGTACACAGCACCGCGAAGAGGCTACCCGATCAGTTAGAATTCCCAGAGAGGATGGACTTGCCAACTTCTCTCGCCCCTACGTCGTTTTCATGCACTTGGTGCGGAACATCCCTTCCCCCCGCCGCGCATCAACACCGATGCAGAGCACCGAAGACACCAGTTTTCCAATGTGAAATTCGGCCTTTACGCAATTGTCACGTGGCTCCGAGGTTATCGCTATTCGGTTTTGCTTGTTTTCAGGGCCGAGCGAGATGTCGCGTTTTTTGTTTCGTTGTTGATGCTCTCCATGTTGCAGCGGTCGTACCGTTTGCGTCTGTTGGACCGTACTCGTCTCGTGAACGCGCAATCAGAGACAGACGCCACGGTTTGTAGGTCTGAATAACATGTTGCCGCGACCCACCGGGTTTGCTCTCTGTCACCCTGCCGCCTGCGCGGGGAAGCATTGTGGATCCCCTCGCTTGCACTCTTACGAACAACCTCGACGTTTCCATCAGCGAATCAATCGCCTAACGCCGCCACAGCAAACACTTGTTGCTGTTCAACTCCGCCTGCTCGCAACAACCCTCACTCGCAGGACGAAAAAGGAGTTTCTACGGGAGCACGAGGGTGCTCCGGAGGGTGGAAGTTAGAGTGATGGGTCTGCGGGGGCAACTCTGGGCGTGTGACGGGGTTCCTGACGTCCTGCTCAAAACAGGGTTTTAAGGTCCAATCCTGGTGGATCGTTTGTTATTAGACTATTGATGTTTTGTATGGGATTTAGTGTGGTAAACAAAAACCTCTTGGGGGGAGCAAGAGGGTGATCCGGGGTTGGGTTTTAGCGTGGTAGGCTTGCAGTTCCTTGCGGCGAAACTTGTTTCTCTTGGGCGGGGCCGTCGAACCCACCGGCGCTGTCGTTTTTTCTCGGCGATCGATTTTGCTTGCCATCTGATCCCGACTTTTTTTCACTCGGTGTGCGTCTGTCTGTGTCGCATTTCGGCGATGAGGACATGATGTTCGCACGATTTGGGTACTCCCTTCGCGAAAAGATGCGCAGATTACGACGGGGTTCGTGCCTAATGAGGGGAAGGCTACCGACCCAGGTGTGAGTTAAGGGAAATGGAAAATGCCCCTACCGACCATACAGAGGGTGAAAGGTTGGTGTTCCCTTGTGAGAAGCAATGACTGTTGTAGTCCAGTGGTCATCGTGCTTGTCACCAAAAGGTACTCGGTGTTCACCCCCAGGGATGCCGTCCCTGAGGATGAGGACTCCGACTTCGGAAACATTGCCTGCGGATCAACATTTCGCAAGGCTTCGTCCCTGTGCAGAGCGGCGTGATGGGTCACGCGTCGCGATTGACTCTTGACACAAGAGATCCGCGGTGATGTACGGTACGGCAGTGGCATTACCGTTCCAACGTCTTACCGTGGAGATTAGTGAAGGCTCTGTTATTGCAGCCGGGCTGTAGCAATCTCCTCGTTTGATACTCCTCTTCACCTTTGCAAGATACTGTACGTACTTCATTCAGTACTTCGATGAAAGCAATCCTCTGGTGTTTGGTCTGCCCACTCAGCTCGTCATTTTTGCATGCTGCGTTTTATCAGATCTCCGTCGTCACAAGGTGACCCAACACCTGGTGGTGCGGTACAATCTAAACCACAGAAAGACAGACCCCAAACAGACGTAGTCCAGCAAGAACACCCACTACGAAATGGAGTCTGCCAACTCACCAACGTAGGCAAGTAAATGAATCAGAGTCCGTACCATGCAGCTTCCTTTCTCGGAATCAGAGAACATGACGCATCGTGCGTAGTGTGCAACAACACCACTGACCAGAAGTGACGTGATTTTGAAAACCGTGCCTCGCATGCTATGCATACCCAACGAGTCACTAGAGTAAGTCTAGTGTCCCGTACGTTTTCTTCGACGAGGGCCTCACACCGTAGAGCTAGCCATACTGTGCGCTGCTACAACCGCTCACAAGCCCAGGAACCAAAAATACCTTCAGATTGGTTCCCTGAGAGAGTTTTCTCATTACCGCATTATTTGGCGACTCGACGAGGACCGCACTTTCGCTGTGAGGTCCGAATGTCCGAAAGTGCCGGTAGCGGGTGCATCTAGATCCAGCCCCAATAAGTGCACATCATCTCGTGTCTGTCTAGTAGACTAGGGTTGCATCCCATCGTGATATCTTTTGGTCCCACGTGCAACTGCTGTTGCATGTGTGCGTGCGTGGAAGTGAAACGTTCGTCGATCCGATTTGTTTGGGGAGAAGTGTCGAGATGTGTCCAGTGCACTGCTGTGTACACGCAGAAGACTATAGACTGGACGTTACGATATGTATGTCTTCTATACCTCAGCCCGACTGTATCCGCGGCGTTGTTTTGCACGGCGGTGTGTGTGTTTTTTATTATCGGCGGTGTGTGTGTGTGTGTGTTTTCGTCCTATATATTTTGGCGACAGTCCCCCAGAAGACTAGACTATAGACTGGACATTACGATATGTATGTCTTCTGTACGTCACACCCGACTGTATCCGCGGCGTTGTTTTGCACGGCGTTGTGTGTGTGTGTTTTATTATTAGCATCGACCGCGCTAACCGGCTGACCAATGAAAAGACGTCAGTCTTAGTGCGGTTGAAAACACAAAACACTTGTATCTACCATGAACTGGGACCCCGTGAGGGGGCAGCATGGGGTAGGCTAAACTATATGTGTGTGTGTTTTCGTCCTATTTATTATGGCGACAGTCCCCCCATTTTTTTTCGTGGTGAGACGTGTACTGTACTTTTCAGCGTATGTAGAGTACTCTACACTTTTCAGTGTATTTTTTCGTAGAACTGCAACCATCCAGGGTCACATAGGAGGGGGTAAACACCAGGGCTGTTTCCTTCTTTTTTTAATTTCTTTTCATGCCCCACCTTCCTCCTGCGGTGTGTGCTGAGTTTCAGTTTTATCGCGAGAAGGGTCCAGCCGTCCCTTTCCCTCGTCAACGGTGCTAAAACGTCGAAGTTTGGTACGCACGAGAGCTTTTTAGCTATATCTCGCTTTCACCCGCAAATTTCGTGAATTTCCCACCCCATGGGGATTCGATCTCACGACCTCTGCGACTGGCGGATTACGAGGATACCACTAGACCACCGGCGGTAGCCACCACAAACAAAATACCACTCAGACATTTCATATCTGGGCCCCCCATCAATCTGAAGGAAAACTTAAAGTAGTTGACTTGTCTTATCTAGACTTTTTTTTTGTTTTTTGTTTTTTCTCCCATCATCGGATTCTGTCGTCTGCCCCTCTGGCCCCTAAGCTAGACGGACCCAACCGGGGTCACATAGGAGGGGGGTGCTGGACCCCCTCCTGCGGTTCCTGCCTGAGGTATTTTTATCGCGAGTCTATGGGTGTTCGGTTACTGATCCATAGTCTACACAGCCTACCGCCCGACAACGAAGGTCCCGCACAACAACACGAAAATGGCCAGGGAGACAAACCAGCTGGACTAGCATAGTCGTTATTAGTGGTCTCTCCAACCAGTGCCTGTTTCTGTCTCTTATTTCTTGTTATTTTCGGCCTGGTCCCTTTTTGTCCTCGCTCTTTTTATTTCATTTTCTCTTTCCTTTTACTGTTTCCATTTATTTTCTTCTCTTTTTCTCTTGTTCTCTTTTCTCTTTTCTCTCTTTTTCTGTGCCAGATGGCCTTGTTTCTGCTTACGTTGTGAAGTACCAAGATTGAATCAAGGGGGTGTACCTCATTCTCTCCGGCCTGTGATGGTGACCCCTAGTCTCAGTTGTTACCTCGCATAGCGCGCAGAGGGAGTGGAGGACTCCAGAATATCTGGCGTTGATTTCTATTGACGTGCGGACCCCTCGGGGCCATTTTATTTGAGTGTACCTTTTTTGGGTAAGTTAGCCTGCGACCACGGGAATCGACCGCGTCGAGTGTTGTATCAGTACGGACATACGAAGGTACTGGGTAGAGAGAGATCGGAACGGTTTTTAATGTGAAGACAACAACAACAGCAAGTCTACAGCACCAAACTGCTGATTTCTGCTGTAGCTGTTGAGAACTGTCAGCTTGTTGCTTCGAAAGCACAGCAGTAGTTGCAGCGCGCGGGGTTGGTACTGTATCATGTGTGCCTGTGAACCACAGACAAACCTACAGCAGTCACATGAGAGCCAACAACGCACCAAGAAACAAAGGCCGTGAGCGTTGGCGCGATGTCGCTGGACGCGATCGATGTTTACGAAAACAAGAACAGTAACACAGAAACATTGGCAAATGATTTGTTTGCATATCCATTGTATGAACAGAAATATAATATCAAATATGTTCTGAACTTTTTCTTCCCGCTTGCACAGATGTCCTTCCGGAGGTGTATGTTACATGAAGTGAAAATGAAAAACGTCAGAGGGTTGTGGGCTGTCGGTCTTGAGGGTTGGCGCCATCCACCAGACACGCATTCCTCGATCACATGCACATCCCTACCGCATCACATGCACATCCCTACCGCGGGACATACATAGAGCGGCGGATGCATTGATACACTCAAGGGAGATACGGCCATCGAGCATGTGGTGGAAACAACCCGGCCTGTTTCCATCGGCGGCCGACGGCGTGTCTTCCGGTGGTTCTTCTACGTTTCTCAAAAATCAGCGGTGTATTTCTCCCTCTTCCAAGAACGATCCCCGTATATATGCATAGCATTCGGTCCTCATTTGTTCGTCCCTGCCCTCCTCCGCCGTTCCTCCACGTCATCCTGCCGCGCCGTGCCTCATCTCGCCTCTCACCCTCACTCGGGAGTCCACCGCACACACCGTAGAGAGAGGGCAGCAGCCGGGATCTACTCGAGCTTGCGCGTGCGAGAACAAGCCCGCCCACCGGCTTCGTGTTTGCGCGCCGTGCTCTACTGGACACCGGTGGTTGCTGCATCCGGAGGGATTATGTGAGTTGTTGTCCATAAAAAACAAGCCCATGGAGTGCACCTCTCTTTTTCCTTCGTTAGAGTTGCACAACCAACATTTCTCGTGGAGAACGAGGAGGAGGAAGCAGCCACCGCCCCCCCGCCATGCTCCTTGAGACGAGAGTTCGTCATGGCGGGACTTGAAGGGACGGCGGCTGAAGTACGCGAAGTTCAGCAGCGGGACCATGTCTTTTAGTCTAGATATTACGCAGGGTGTGGCGTTCGGAAGTGGTAATGGGTGTCCCACAAAGCGCGCCGCTACCGTGTCCTTGGTTTGCATCGGCTACATGGCCGTTGTTGCCGTGCGTCTCGCCAAACCAGAAGACAGAAAACATCAGGGCAGCGACTCGAGTGCACCCTTCCCTGTTAGTGTGACGGGAGGGCATGAAATAGATGGATGGCCCTGGAAATTTCGACCAATCAATGTGTTTTGCAGCTTCAGACAGACGCGAGAACGAGAACGGTTACATGTGGCTCCGGCCGTTACGTGCTGGCCTGAAACCTCCCTTTACGGTGCGTTCGTGTGTGTTCACACAGTTCTTGAGTCGCTAGGCTCTGCCGTCTACACCGGGTTTTATTTCCCGCTGCCAATAGAATACGCACCGAAGCTCAGTTGAATCTTCAATCCTCCCCCTACTGCAACTGCTGTAGTTCAGTGCACCATACATGCTACGTGGAAGTCTGCCTACGGAAGTTGAATCTACCGTTGCACCGCCGATTACGAGAAATGAACACGAAACGTTGCGGGGGTGTGATTGATGACTGCCATCAGCCGGTAGAGCATGAAACCGGCGCACCCAACCCACCTTTGCTGCTCTGCCCTGCAGCTTAGCCCTCTGATCTCCCCCCTTTTTGCCATGACGCGCTTTCAAACGTTTCCAGCGATCGAGCACCCTACCGGGTTTCTTCAACCATCTTATTTTGAAGGTAGCTGGGAAATGGCGGCAGCTTCATCCTCTACTGGCAGGACGGGCACGCAACCGGAACACGGTGAGCGAACGCAAGCGTCATCCCGTCTGTGATACTCTTGCGGGGGGGATGGTGCTTTAGCGGATCTATTGGGCATTTCCTGGGACATATGGGTGGGATGCCCGTGGGCGTTTCCCCGGAGATGTCCGTCCGGGAGATGCCCGCTAGAATCTTCGTCCATGGACATCCATGGGCTCGTCGGTTTCCGTCAATGGATGTACCCGAGAACCGGTCCGTGGACGTGTCCCATGGACATGCGAACCCTTTACGCTCCATGCACTCTTCGCCACAGCAGTTCAGGGAAGGCTCGCCCATGAATACAAACCCGGGGGCGTTGCCTTAGGATAGTACCGTAGTAGGAGAGAGAACGCACGTTTGGTGATATCGCACGTACTGGTGATATCGCATATAGACTAACGCCCAAGAGCCAAGTGATTAAGTTCGATTATCGCGCAGGGTTCGGTGATATCGTGCGCGGGGGTTCCATATCACCGATACCGAGCCCCGATTGGCTCCGGGGCTGCCAGCCACTCCGACTGCCAAACACTCCGACACTGATGGAGGCGTCGGTTTGTTTACCAGGGCCACGTCACAGGATACGTATGATTTGCAGGTTGTTGTTGTTCCTCACATTAGCGCTATAGTTCACAAAAAATGGGGAGCCCGTGATCTCAAAACCCGGCACATATGACGCCGCGGGGGGGAAGGTGTGTTAGCACCGACCGTGTGTGTGTTTTGCAGTGCGGCCGTGACATGTGGGGTATCGCACGTATCGGATTTGTCGCACGGGGGTACCGTAAGGTTGCGGGTTAGCGCACCCCGGTGCGATCGTTTTTTTAAACATTTTCGCTATTTAATTTTCATCGCACAGGGGTGCGATGACTCCGGACCGTGCGATGACGCCACACCCTGTGCGGAAATTGAATTAAATCATTGGGTTTGATACACAACGCACACCACTGTGCGATAACTCCAGTATGTGCGGTACTTGAACGAAAGCAGACGCACGGACACCTCAGCTGTGCTGCGGTTGCAGGCTCCACACACAACGTACACACACGCGCGCACGTCAGCCAACCACAGTAGCCAGCCCGATGGATGCTAGGTTTTGGAGAAAGAACACAACACACACACACGCATTGCGCTTTTTTTTTTTTAATTTGCTTAATATCACACGNTGACGCCACACCCTGTGCGGAAATTGAATTAAATCATTGGGTTTGATACACAACGCACACCACTGTGCGATAACTCCAGTATGTGCGGTACTTGAACGAAAGCAGACGCACGGACACCTCAGCTGTGCTGCGGTTGCAGGCTCCACACACAACGTACACACACGCGCGCACGTCAGCCAACCACAGTAGCCAGCCCGATGGATGCTAGGTTTTGGAGAAAGAACACAACACACACACACGCATTGCGCTTTTTTTTTTTTAATTTGCTTAATATCACACGACAAATCCATCTCTATCTATAGAAATAAGTCTAAGATAGATTAGCAATGAATCCATAGCGTGAGCGAAAGGCTACCTGTATGTCTACGGTTTCCCAGACAGCATACAACGATATCTCCCCTGTGGGTAACCTGTGGGTAACAGGCTCAACAAGACAGTTTGGTAGCCATCTTGTGTATCTATGTGTATGTAATGTTGGGAAGTTGTAGACGGAAGATTTTGGGGAAATCGGTTTGTCGGGTATTTTGTTATGGCACCCTTATGTGCTTTTCGAATTTTGGCCTCCTTCCAGGGACCTTGATTTTTACCCGCTGGCACTGACGTATTTAAATTGGTCAGCCGGTTAGCGCGGTCGATGCTAATAATATGACCAACTGCCACTCACTGCTCCTGCTGACCTTCATGACGGATGCTCTCCAACGGGATTACGACATGGTTGCGACAAGATGTCTCGGCAAACCGCTCTGAGGAACACCAGGGAAGTTGACAACAATGGCCACATTGGATGTATATCACTTGAA